GAATGTACAGGATAGATTACATTAATATAAACAGGGTGATCCACTGTTCCAAAAAACTCCTCTGATTTTTCTTGTTTGGGATTTGAAATCATTTTTTCCAATATCATTTGAACATTCTATATACAGATATTTTTTTCATATACAGAGCGTTTCAAACTTCAGATGTTTTTTTTTCGCGATACCTTATTTATTATTATTTAACTTTATTTTTGAATAGGATTAAATTTATTTTTAGTCGACCATACCAATGGGTATGGTAGGCTATTAAGATCGGCAAAAAAAGTTTTTTTAATTTAACTCAAAATGAGTTATTTGGAATTATTCATAAATGACCTAAATACAAAATATTTTCATGGTGTCTGTCTGTCTGTCCGTCTGTAACACGATAACTCAAAAACCGCTAAACCGATTTTAACCAAATTTGGCACAAAAATACTGTGGCACCCGAGAATCTGGCCATTAGTTTTTGGTAGGGTTGGGGGGTTGGTAAGGGGGTATAGGAGGGGGTTAAAATCTACAAAAATCGTAACTCCAAAATTACAGTAGCTAGCGAAACGCGGTTTTCAATTTAAGATTAGGAATAATATTTGCATCAAAATTTGTAATAACATCAAAATCAGTCAAAGTCGCAGTTTTTGCGATAAAAAAAATGAAAAAATTCCTTTACTTTGAAACTAAAAGAACTGCCTACCAACTTTTTATTAACATATTTTAGTATACGCGGCTAGACGTGCCTCCCGGCGCCAATTTTTTTAAATATGAAGGTAGATTTTTTTATTTTATTTTTACAAGCTTTTGGCCTCTCAAAATAAGTTGAAATAGCACAATTAATTGTCTAAAAATACAATACGATCCAAAAAAAAAACGGCGTCAGAGATGGCTTTGAAACTGGACGCCGTTTTTTTCGATTGTACGGTATACATAAATTTGAAAATTTTGAAGTGCGTGTTATACGAATCATTGATTATGTGTGTGGAAAAAAAGCAACACAATAATTTGAAGAAAAATCGCTAGGTAAACGTTTCAATTCAATTTACAGTGTTTATTAGGAGAAATACTTTGTATCATAGATAAAGGAGTCTTCGTATATCGATATACTAACATTGGAGGTGTTCTGTTAAGTTTTTTACGGGTAATTTTCCCCCTAATTGCCGACATACACGTGCGCCATGCTCTTCTTAGAAGCGGTAAGCGATACCGAAAGGGGTGTTGAATTTACCGTGAAATTGATAGGGCGATACTCGATAATGTTTCTTTTACTAACGAGTGCGCTCAAATTTCCAGTAAAATACAGATTTCTATAAAGAAAATCAATCAGACAAGAACTGGACTTAACTCTTAAACGGTAAGAGATACAGAGTGGCTCTTACCTTGTCTTTGCTATTTCCGGAAATATGGCGGAAAACTAGAATTTTTGTTTTTATTTTTTTACGAGTATAGAAATATAGTATAGTATATTTATTATTATAGTATATTTTCGTAGAAAAAAAAAATAAATATACTAGCGTGTACCAGCGATTTCGTTCGCGTCGAATTATTCATTTGTAATGGTGATGATAAAGCAAAGCAAGAGTTTCCATTATCCAGTTTGTATGGATAAAATTTTCTCACATTTGTCAGCATGAGAAAAAACAATATGGCGATATTATTATATAACTTGGTAATATTTGAGGGGTAGTTTGGATGATGTTAAACGAAAAGGAACCAAGCGCCAAATTACGAAAACTGAGTAAAAGGCATCATCCGACAGAGTAGTATTCAATGTATATGTGGAAAAAGATCCACGCTACAATTAGGTGTTTCAGTGACATCTATTGAACAGAGTCCTAAGCACCACTACTGTGTAGGAATCTTTTGAATTTGTCTAAAAGGATCCAAGCGACAATTCCTTTTATATGTATGTCCGTTTTCTGTTGATTCTCTTTAAGTGTTTGCTTAGCCGCGTGTTTTTCATATTAAAACTACAAAACTATTATAAAAAAAGGTATTAACCTAAAACAAGGGTAAACATAGGAATTAGTAAAAGATCTAAAAATTTTGTGTTGGCTGCTTGGGAAAATATAATTTTCGAAAAAATGGATAAAGGAGACTTCTATTCTACAGAACAAACAGAGAAACAAATCTGCAATAGAAAACACCGTAAACCATGTTGTAGATTTTTTTTTTGGTTTAATAACAGTACTCCGGTATTTCTTAAAAAAGAATTATGCGCCAAATGTTTATTAAAATGTGTAAAGTTTGAAGCTATGTATTGTCAATTTGTTCTTGTACTCATCTTAAATCAATTTTGTCATAAACTGTGGATAAATTTTTCGTGATAGCTCAACAAAGATAGATAGAACTCGCTCATACGTTAGAAGGCAATATCTCAAAATCACAGTTTGGCGCTTGGGTCCTTTTCGATTAGCATTATCCGTTTCATCTCGTTGGAATTTGACTTTCGAAAAATCCGTTTGCCAAAAATAAGCTTTTTACGTCAAGCAGTTTAAGCAGAACCGTGGTTAAGAAATTACCCAACTTTTCGGAACACCCTGTATGATTTTTTAAAAAATTTCAAAATATGTAAAAAAAAACAAATAAATTATGCTTGTCCAAGCGTTTTCCCGAAAGACTAACCGTTTTTTAAATAACAAATATTGTAATATTTGAGGGGCGTTTTCACCCTCTTCGAATTTGAGATTCGAGAAACCCCTTTTTATCCAACCTCTACACCCCACAGTCAATCCGTTTGCTAAAAATCAGCTTTAAATGTCAAGCAGTTTAAGCAGAATCCTGATTACTCAATGGTCATATTTTATGAAACACCCTGTATAAATTTCTATAAAATCTTAAAATATGTAAAACAACAGAATAAAATATACGTGTTTAAGAGTTTTTCCGAAAAACTCCCCGGTTTTTAAATAAAAAATATTTTAATATTTGAGTGATAGTTTCACCCCCTTAGAATTCGAGTTTCGAAAAATCCCTTCTTATCGAACCTCTACACCCTAAAGCCAAAATTGAGCTTCTTACGTTGAGTGGTTTGAGCAGGATCGTGATTAATCAGTATGTCAGTCACTTAAGGATTTTATATATTAGTATAGATTTCTAAAGAAAGTTTTTTCATCGTTTGTTTCGAAAAATCCCTTCTTATCGAACCTCTACCTATCAAACCCTAAAGCCAATCTGTTTTCCAAAAATCAGCTTTTTACGTCAACCGCTTTAAGCAGGATCGTGATTAATCAATGACCAGATTTTTTGAAACACCCTGTATACATTTTTAAAAAATCTTAAAATATGTAAAAAAACAAAATAAAATATACGTGTTTAAGCGTTTTTTCTGAAACTTGACCGTTTTTTAATTAAAAAATATTGTAATATTTGAGGGGTGGTTTCACCCTCTTGGAACTGGAATTTCGAAAAATCCATTCTTACCGAACTTCTACACCCTAGAATCAACCTGTATGCCAAAATTGAGCTTCTTACGTTGAGTGGTTTGAGCAGGATCGTGATTAATCAGTATGTCAGTCACTTAAGGATTTTATATATTAGTATAGATTTCTAAAGAAAGTTTTTTCATCGTTTGATGACATGAAATATTACTTACCACGTTTCGTTTTTTTTCTGGAATCAGCAACCAATTTATTTTTTTAAAAAGGGACTTAGACTTTTTAGTTCCTTGTTAACCTCCAAATGTAATGATTTGGGTAGTATTGCACGAAGTATTTGCACTTAAAAGAATGTGGCATTTTTTTACATACACAACGAATGTGGTCCGTATACCTCTCTTCAAAACATTGCCTCTTAGGAATATTCTTTGTTATACCTTCCTTCTATTTTTCTGGACAAGTGTGCTAATAATCTAAAATTTAAAAATTTTGAAATACTTTAAATACAAAAAATGTTAATTTTTTAATTCTCCATCTATTAAAAAAATAATATACGGGGTGTTCCGTTTAATAAAACGAAGAAAAATTTTCTTCGTTTTATTAAACGGAACACCCTGTATTTTTTATATTTTAGAAAGTTTGGCATAGAATTTTGAACATCCTGTATGATTCACCTTTACCATATTTATAGCAAAGTAAGTGCAGACAGTCTAAAGTAAATACCTAATAGAGTTTTGATTTCAGGACAATTTTGTATTTTTTAATAATTTTTTTAAAAAAGCCTGAAAAATATGAAAAATATATATTTTTTATTTATTTATTAATATCTCGGAAACTATCGAAAAATATTTAATCATATCTTAGGATTATGTAAAGTGATCTGAAAGGAAACCAAAAATAAGCAATAATATACAGGGTGTTCCATTTAAAAAAAAAATATCCCGATCCACTCACGCTTTTTTGGGCCACCCTATAGAAGTTAAAATATTTTCCTGAAATACATTCTCGTACATACTTTAGGTCTGCACTTAAAAAAAAATTCCCCTGTTGTTTACTTTAGAAGCTACAGACGACGCACTATTGCCGGACCCTGTATAAAATGATGACTATATCACACAAAATTGCGGTTTTAATGAAATATTTCGGAGGCGTATCATAACATTTTGTTCCCATTTTCAGCCTCCCTTAAATTTGATCTATACAGAGTGAGTTTCAAAAAGTGCAAATTTTTTGAAGTAGTATATTTTGACCCCAGAAACACGTCTATGCGGTTTTTTCCCCAAAAAATCTGATTTTTTTGACAAGAATTTTTAAGTATATATTTTTTATTTTTTAGTTAAAAAACATCATTTGTTGATAATATGATAACATATAGGTAGTAGATTAAATTTAGAAGAAAGAAAATTCCAAAAAGATTCAGTGGTTCTCAAAATTTAAGCAAAAAATATATTTTTTAAATTTTCAAAGTAAAATAACTCAGTTGTTTTGAACAAATATTTGAAAAACGGCAAGGAGAAAATATTTTTCTTTTATCTACCAGCCCTGAAAAAATAGCACTTATTTAAGACTCATCCTGTGTAAGTTTTTATAATGTAAAATCAAATCTTAGAGATTTTGTTTTATTTGTTTCAGAGGGTTGTGGTTGGTGTGGAAAGCCGGTAGAAGAAAACAATGGTCTCATATCAGCAGCGTCAGTATTTTGTTCGGAATTGTGTTTTTCACAGTCCAGACGTGCCAATTTTAAACGCAACAAAACTTGTGATTGGTGCCGGCACGTGAGGCATACTGTGTCTTATGTAGATTTTCAGGTAGTGTATTTTATTGTTATTATTTGAAAAATGCACCACTCTATATATTTTTGTGCTAACTGCACTTTCTTTATGATTAGTACAAATAAGTAATTTCCTTTCTTTAAAGGAATAAGTTAACAAGATCAGCAGAACCATATGATTGAAAAAAACGGCGTCAAAGACGGCTGGGGAATGACAATCGATGGTAATTTTGGCGAGATCAAGCCCTAGACCTAGACTAGATTGAAGAAGACCGATTGTTTTCTTTATTCCTTAATGGCGCTTACTGCCAGCAGCTGGCTTTAAGAAGGTTTTAATTTGGTTATAATACATTTTTATACTATCTTTTGATTTTCTTGGGATTTAGGTTCGGGAAAACTCTGATTAAGTTTTCATTTGGTTTTTCATTATCTTTATTTGGTTTGTAAATGAAAAACAAACGTTTCGGCTAACATTATAGTCTTCATCAGTGTAGTGTCTATAAAGAAAGTACCGGGTGGCCAACTAAGAATGGACGCCGGCTGTATCTCAGAAACTACTTATCATATAACTTTGTGAAAAAAAATCTAATAACTAAATAGACCAAGAGAAACCGCTGGAAATTATTTTCAAGTTCGAGAAATGCCCGCTAGGGGGCGTTTCTCTAATAGCCAATCAGAAAACAGGGTTTACCTCTTTTTGTTTCTTAGCCTATTACTATAATTTTTAGACAATCCTAAGCGACAGCCTAACATGATTTGTTCTCTTAATATCTCCGGTTAGAGAGAAGATAGAACGTTGCGGTTTGCGCTGATATTTTGGAAATTTTGTGCTCTATTTAACTGTGCAAAGAGAAATATAGCCTCCTATTTAATTTTTTCTGTTATGATGTCAAACAGCGCCCTCAAGCTACCACGAAAAAAATTGTGGAAACAAAATTTATACTGGAGATCATTAAGGAAGAAAAGCTCTTTCAAACGAGCCCTAGTTTGTTTAAATCGCGTAACCCAAACCAGAGTTATCTTCATTTTAATAAAAGCAAGTTTAACCTTCCTCCACCACTTTATTTTATGAGATACAGCAAAATTCTTTATATCAAAAAAATTACAAATTTCTCGATGATTACAACAGTAATATTTAAAATACCTGTTCACCTGCATATTTTTGAGAAAAAAACCCGTTTTCTGATTGGCTATTAGAGAAACGCCCCCTAGCGGGCATTTTTCGAACTTGAAGGTAATTTCCAACGATTTCTCTTGGTCGATTTACCTATTAGAATTGTTTTCCCAAAGTTATACGATAAGTAGTTTCTGAGATACAGCCGGCGTCCATTCTTAATTGGGCACCCGGTACAATTTCAATTTACTTATCACAAAAATCTATGTTAATTTTTTTTGAGAGAAAAAGCATTTATACAAATCACGAATACATAGTTAAAATTAAAAAGTCAAGTAGTTTATATACAAAAAAAATCTTAGGAAGTTTAGTGTAACAATTTTTATGTTATAAAAACAATAATTCTTTACAAAACATTTTTTTCCATACTTATTTACCCGCTATTGAAAGTTAAAAGCAAAATCTTACTACTTTTACCATATCAAAAAATCGTACGTTTAGATAGTTTTAATGTTAAGAATAATAATTTTAAAAATATGTGGTCATCTTTTGTCAAGTTTATATTAGTTTATTAATTGTAGTAAACATTATGTTGTGTGTGTTGTGAATATTTTGTATGTAATTTTTGGATTTTGTTCGACACTATTTTTTTGATATTGTAAGATTTTGCTTTTAACTACCTGAAAAAAAAACTTTAACTTTCAATAGAGGGTAAATAAGTATGGAAAAAATATTTTGTAAAGAATTATTGTTTTTATAATATTTTTTCACACTAAACTTCTTAATTGGTTTTTTTTTGTATATAAACTACTTGACTTTTTAATTTTAACTATGTATTCGTTATTTGTATAAATGTTTCTTCTCTCTAAAAAAAAATAACGCAGATTTTTGTGATAAGTAAATTGATTACTTTGTTATAGACACTACACTGATGAAGGCTATAATGTTAGCCGAAACGATTATTTTCCCTTTAAAAACCAAATAAGGATAATGAAAAAACCAAGTGAAAACTTAACCAGAGTTTTTCCGAACCTAAATCTCAAGAAAATAATAAAAAAAATTAGAATGTATAGAAACAAGGTTCAAGAGTATCAAATTTTCCAAGTATATTTTTATATAGAGTTAAAGTGATTTTTAAATGGTATATTTTGGTTTGGCAAATTCAACAAAAAATATTTTTTTGGAAATAGATTTGTATCTCTCGCCAAAATTATCATCGCTTGTCATTCTGCAGTCGTCTTTGACGCCGTTTTTTTCGATCATACTGTATTGGTATCCGTACTCTTTGAAAAATTGTTACTTTTTTAAAACAAATCTAAAATTTCAAGATTACGGGTATATTGATAAAAAATCTGAATTTATTTACCAACAATCATAAAGATACATTTTTCGACGAAAACCTAATTTCTTTATAACGTTCCACAATTAAAGCTAGTAATTATTTGAAATTAGTTTTTAGACTCCCGGTATAAGGTATTAATATTTTTATTACTGTAACATAATATTTAGAAAATATAAAATTATAGCGCATATATCGTTTTAAAAATTCAAATAATACGCTTAGATAAATGATGCATGAAAATTGTTATTTTTTGTTTCACAAAATCGTAATGTCTCAAAACAGTTCAAGATTTAAGTGACATAAACCTTACTCAACTTTATCTTTATTTTAATCGTAATCGTAAAATGTAATAATGTCATATACAGGGTGTTCTTTTAAAAATAGACAATTTTCAGAATTTTATTTCTCTGAGATAATCTATACCTCAAATAAAATGTTTTTAAATAATTTTAAATTGAATATAACTCTAGTAGTTCTTTACTTGTCTAAAACATTTATAATTTATAAAATGTAGTAATTTGCTTGCAATGCTTCCCGGCGAATAGCGTGAATACCAGGGTGAGTCTTATATACAGGGTGGTCCGAACCGTATTCCAGAAACTTTGGCAAATAAAAAAGTTCCTATAAATTTATGTGCTAAAATGCTTTATTTAGGAGATTCAGTATATAGAACTTTCATTTTTATTTCGTTTCTTTCCATATAATTTCTAAACTAACATCGATATTTTGATGCAAATTGTTGTCTGGGAGTTTTTTGAAATGAGAAATTTGATTTTGATGTCAATATGACTCCTACTTTTACTCCTACTTGTAGAAGACGCCATCTACAAATATTTTAACTGGTTTGAAGAGTAATAACTTTTCGTTCGTATCTGTATAAAACTACTGAGTAAAAAATATATATTTACGACATTTTTGACGTAAAAAAGGTCTCTTGGTAAAAATCGCTACGAGTAATGGTTCTCGAGATATTTGGAATCGACATTACCAACACCTGTCATCATTGACATAAATTAAACATGTTGACTAAATAGTTATTAGACTGAAATCATAAATTTGAAATGTTTTTGTGCCAAAAGTTAAAAAAAAACTGTTTTATCTTCATTTTTTCGGAGAAAAATTTATGATTAATTTAAAAAAATAAAAAGTTCCCAAATTTCAAGGATACTATAGAGATAAGGGTAGTTAGATTCCTATCTTCCTGCACTGTCAGTTTTTTTACGTCATCTAGGGACCGAGTTGAAGTTGGCGCTAAAGATTTTAGACAGTGACAGTTATTTTTGCGTTTAACGGACGAGCGCACAGTGTGGTGGAAGATAAATTTAGCGGGACAAAACCGTTTGGTTAGAAATAAGCCAATAATTTGTACTGATAAGAATAAATAGTAGACATTTCAATTGATATAAAAATGCATGAATATTCTTTGTATTTCGATATATTTTTGTCATCCAAATTTGGTCGTTTTCTGCTCAGCAAGGCAGAGATCATACGAAAACAAAATATTTACAAGTGCTTATACATTTTATTCCAAAGCCAAATTATGTTGAAGATTGCCAAAGGTATGTACTTTTCTACTGTACGTATATTATTTGTTAAAATCTTTCGTGCCTTTGTTCTGCAGATATCAAACTTTCAATTTTTTTTTCAAATATCGATATATTGAATGATGTAGATCTTTTGAGTTACCAATAGTTACCAACACAGGTAGTCACAGTCACAGGGAGTTCAAGCTTAACAGATGAATGACCAAAAGTTTCATTTCATTCGTCTCGTTAAAGGGTTAATTCAAGAGCATTCAAAAGAAGAATTGGGTTTTGCAAGTACTATGTAATTTAGGGCTAGTGGGAGTAAGAATTTACTGCTGTAATTGTTGAAACCTTAACTCCATCGAAAGGCACTAAGTTAAAAAATTAATAGCTACCCATATATCCGCGGACTTTACCTTTCACGCAAACCTATCGTATTTTGGTTTAAAGGCCCGGCCTCAAGGCCAAGTCTTCTTTGTATGGGCAGCTAATTAATGACACCAATAGTCTGTTCGGCAATTTTCCTTAAGACAAAAACATCCAATGATGTTCTAGTTAAATAAAGCATGACGATATGCTAAAGCCTTTTTTTTACTTTCTGATAATTTCTAATAAATCTAAATGATTATTACTAGTTTTAATAAAAGTTTAAAAAATTGTCTTAGATACTTACTATATATGAATTTACAATTATCGAGTGTTAAAATTAAAATTAAAATATTTATCTTATTTATTTTCAAAATAAAATAGAATGTTTTAAAATAAAATATACTGGGTGTCACAAGATTACAAAGTAATTAAAAAATAACTGCTAAAGAGTTTTTTGTAAGTATTTCACCTGATATCATAATTTTATTTATTTGGCAATAGCAAAGGCTTACAGTACGGTTTTTGTGTGTCATGTACGAATATGTATTAGTTTTATTATCTTGTATTTATGTATTTATTAATAAATTAAGATGTTAATAAATACATTTAACTATATGGTGTCAAACATCGCTCCTGAGATTGTGTCCCGCTAGATTAACCATCCGCCGCACTGTGGAGCGCTGGTCCCTGCGTGACGTAAGCATCCACGGTGACTACGACTGCGGCGTTTTGACGCGATCGAACAGTCCTTTAGAATATATAGAGTCCTTGCCCAAATTTATCATTTCAGTCAAATAACTATACCTAGAATACTCATATTTTTTTGTCAATAATGAGATGTATTGACTATTTCTATTCAAAATATCTTGAGAACGGTTGCTCGTAGCGATTTTTATCAAGAGATATTATATGTAAAAAATCATGGTAACGTACATTTTTTCACTCAGTAGTTTTATACAGGTACGGACGAAAGTTTTTACTCTTCAAAACATTTAACACAAATGTAAGTGGCGCCCTCTACAAATGGAAGTCATATTGTCATCAAAATCAAATTTCTCAAGTCAAGAAACTCCCAGACACCAATTTTCACCCAAATATTGACGTTACACGAGAAATTATTTAGAAAAAATCGAAATAAAAATGAAACTTCTACATCCTGTATCTCCGAAATTAAGCATTTTAGGGCATACATTTATAGGAACTTTTTAATTATTTTTATCTGCAGAATATGCTGCCAAAGTTTCCGGAATACAGTTTGGGTCACCCTGTAAATTAATAACTGCAAATATTCTCACGGCTTGTAGATCTCGATAAATAATATATTTTTTCTTATTTTTTTTTTCAAATCGGTCCAAAATAACCGACTTATTTTAAATCAAAAATAAAAAAAAAATTATTTTGTTCTTAAATTTTGAGAACCACTAAATTTTTTAAGTATTTTTGTTCGGCAAATTATAAATTATGTACTAAATACGTAAATTTCAATCTGTTACTTACATTTGCTATACCATAATAAAATTTATTATGTTTTTTTTTACTAAAATTTAAACAATTTGACGTATTCCTGGGATTAAAATATACCATCCTTAAAATATTGCATTTTATTTAAGACTCACTCTGTAGAATACTACACACAATTTAACAATAGACAATTAGATATACTATTAACATTTATCCTACATTTAGTTTGTACTTTTTTAACTGCTATTCCATTTTAGGATGGTGCTTCTCAACTCCAATTCTGCTCGGACAAATGCCTCAACCAGTACAAAATGCACATATTCTGCCGCGAAACCCGGGCACATCTTGAACTTCACCCACACCTACACGGAGAAGAATCCACAGGAAGCAACCTCATCACTCCAGACTTGTGGTTGAAGCCGTGCAAATCTCCTGTCTGCTCTTCACCACCTAAACCAAGCCCAACATCTCCGAAACCTGCCGAAACTACCACAAAAGTTCTTCCTTCCATCTCTATAGCACCTAGCTCTAAATTATTGAACTCAGAAGTAAATAAATCACGTATACGACCTCCTAAGAGATTAAGGAAACGATATCCATCTACTATAACCTCCAACGAGGCTTTAAATACCTTTAATGATTCTCCTCAAGATCTCAGAGTTCGACATACACCTCCCGTCGAGGAGGTTGAGGAGGTTGATAGTAAAATTGAGGATAAGTCAGTTTTGGATAATGCTGAATCTCGAACAAGTCCAGATGGTGCTACGAAAATATCTCCTAGTTACTTAAAAGCTATTTTAGGGAACTTATTACCTCCACCAAGCGTGTTTGTGCCATACCCTGTTATTTTACCATTACCTATACCTATACCCATACCGATACCAATACCGAAGATGTTTAAAAGTACAAACGATAAAAATTTGATTGAACTAAAAGAAATATCTACTCAAACTGATGTTATGGATAAGTCTAATTCAGAAAAAGAAGTTGAAAATGTCTTAGAAGTTAAACCTAACGAGACAGTTGTGAGGAGGCCTCTTAGAAAAAGAAAGAAAATTACAGAAACCAAAAATAAGACTATTACTAAGCATAAAAAGACGTTCTCTACGAATATATAAATGATATTATAGTTTATTTATTTTTTATACCTACTGTACAAAGTTTATGCTAGATATTTTTCGAAAAAATGACATCAATTTCTGTTGTCTTTCTACGTTAAAACAATTTATTATCTTGTTACTTTTTTATGCCATAATATTATTACCTATACTTATTTTATAACTGATATAATGACTGTTTTCTATTTAAAAATTATTTTTTATGTTGAATCACAATAAAATATTATTACCAGAATTTATATTGTTTAATTTTTTAGTATTTAATGTTAAATACTTTTTTGTTAATAAAATATAAAAAATAATGAGACAACTAGTTTTTTAGAATTGCAGAAGAATATTTATGTCTTCATGTCAATATAGTAATAGCCTAAGAGCTGACGACATATTTAGAGAACATATTTTAGGCAAGCTAGAATAACTAAAAATGTATAGTTTATTAACTGGTGAACCCAGAATCCTAAGTCTGGCTGGGGGGTTGGGGGTATTTCGCTACTGCGCAACCCATAACATTTGCAAAAAAATAAATCCAAAAAACATTCTTTAGGCAACTTGAAATTTGTTTATTCCTAAATTTTGGCATCTATTTAACCTAGAAATAAGTATGCCAGACTTTTTTTTTCGGGTTTAAAGGGTAACCCGACCGTTCCAAATATGTTTAATTATTATACCTGGAAAACATACTTTAGGCATTCTAAAATTTTTACAGCGTGTTTATTAGATGATATTAAAAAATATGTGTTAATTGCCAGACGAATTCAATGGGATTTAATACTTGCCAGACGCGAATAAAGATTTTAAATGAGCGCGATAAGAAAGTCTTATGAGTATCTATAAGCGCGAGAAAGATAGTTTATTGAGACCCGTCGGCAGCCGATGCGGCTGACGTAACAGCATTTTAGAGTCGTAACAATTAAAAAAAAACTAACTAATATTGAATAGATAAAAAGAAACATTTTCTAATAAAAATGTATGATTGAAATCCTTTCAACAAGAAGACTTTTTAATTTAAGTATTTTGTATCTAAAAGAATAAAAAGACGAATAATTATTTAAAAATTAGCATAATATAAAATATATTTTTTCAAACGTCACAAAAGTATAATTATTATTATACTTTTGTGACATATTATATTATTATTAATTTTTGCGACCTGATTGACAATCATATTGACAATATAAAAAAGTCATTTTAACGCCTAAGCATAAAAGTAAAGCACTTTTACTTACTTTTGAATCTATTTAGAAAAATTAACAATGGTACTTTAATAAAATTCCCGAAAAAAAAGTCTGGCATACTTATTTCTAGGTTAAATAGATTCTAAAATTTAAGACTAAATAAATTTCAAGTTGCCTAAAGAATGTTTTTTGGATCTATTTTTTTGCAAATGTTATGGGTTGCGCAGTAGCGAAATACCCCCAACCCCCCAGCCAGACTTAGGATTCTGGGTTCACAAGTTATTAAAGTTTATTTTTTTTTGTTATTCTAACTTGCCTAAAATATGTTCTCTAAATATGTCGCCAGCTCTCCGGCTGTAATACCCCAGACTAAGCTAGTCTGTGGTAATACCATTTTCCATACAATCGAAAAAAAACGGCGTCAAAGACGGCTGGGAATGCCAATCAATACCAAAGTAATTTTTGGCGAGGTCAAGCCCTACACGGCATTTACTTGGCCCGCATTCTTCCTTATTCTTTAATGGCGTTTACTGGTAGATGTCCTTATAAAGAAGGTTGTAATTTATTTTTATATTGAGTGAAAATGATTTTTAAATGGTGTAATTTAAAATTCCAGAAAAAAAGATATACTTTTGTGTAACTAGAAACGTTCTATCCCTTTTAAATATTTTTATAATTAGTGTTTTTTCAAAGGTTTTTGTTAGTCTTTAGTAAATGACATCTAGGCGCCAAAATTATCATCAATTGATATTCTCCAGCCGTTTCTGACGCCGTTTTTTTCGTTCATACGGTATAACTAAAAAATAATTATAATTTAATTGCTAAAGAGCTGCCATCTACTTGATGTGTATTAAACTAAATTCGAAAAACATTCTGTAATTTTGTGGTTTATAGTCAAGAAAGATATCTGTATAATTGTGTATATTTGAGCATTTTTAATATTTCTCAACAGATGGCAATAGTAGTCTTTGGCAGCAATAGTATGTGGCAAATTGTTTAGTATATTTACCACATACCACCTTATAATTTAGTCTGTGTGTTTACTTATGTTTTACACTTTCATTATTTTTAAATATACTACAAAAATTTCGTTTTTTAAAATAACTAAATTATAGTTTTCTTGATATAATTTGCCTTTGATCTTTAGAAAATTATTTTGTTGTAATATTTTAATTATTTTTCTGTGGGGGTACAGAAGTACACATTTCACTGCATACATTGTCATATATTTAGTTAGTTCTATTCTAAGAAAATACAAATATTATTTGAACAGGAAAGGAAATAAAAAAAACATCTATGAATAATTTTAAAACCAATTTATTGGCTGAGGCATTTATATTACATTTATATTCACTTAGTTTTACAATATTTATTAATATAGATATCAGGATAGATAGTAGTCACTCATATCTTTCTGTATATGAGATGCAACTCTTTCCACATCGTCCGAATAGCACGAAAAACGTCTAACCAATCAGGACACAGTCCACTCATCCTAATATTGTACATCCTAACGTCTTCTTTGTTTTATTTTTTTGTCTTTTAAATGTATAACGCTACATTTTCATATTTTTTTGTAGTAAAATATACTCATTTACAAAGAGTTGCGTGCTATTGCCGCGACCAGCCGCTCGATGGCGCCCGAATATAGCCACACCTCTAATTCGACAGGCCTCTCTATTATCATGTACAAGAAAACAACGGGAAATAAAATCGTCTGTAACAGTAAGAAGTCGTATTATCAGTCAACAAACTTTATTTTTATAAAAATATTTAGGCCGTCCAATGATCATCTACATCGTGAGTGCGCCTCTGGGAACTATACTGTGGCGCCATCTAGCGGTGACTCGCTCTGTTCGTTGACAGCTTGGGTCGACGGACTTTTGACGGGTTTGACAAGGAATGAACGGGGACTTTGGGTGCGGGAGTTATGGGTGGTGATGTGGTGAATTTTCGGGTTCGTGGGGGTGTGGGGGAGAATGAGAATAAAGGTGACTGGTGACTACAATGTGCTTAAAGGAGCGATGAGACTCTGTGCCGGATGAAACCCTGAAAATTCCCATTTTCAGACTTTCCTCCACATCACAGAATCTCAAACAATTGTGCGTTATGGTGCAATTTTGTGACATTAATGAAAACATCCCTAAAATTTATATATAATTCAGTGCTAGTATTTTTTTTTTCGACATTCACATGAAAACAGAGTAGTTAATAATTAAGAAAAATATTTTTTTTTATATATTTATATACTTTTTTAGACTAGAAAATTCTTTTTTGTGTAGGTGTTTTAGTAATTTATGTGTGTGCAGTACAGAGATCGACTCCTTAAATTTTAGCACAAAATAAACAGTATAAATGCATATAATTTATTTATTTAATTGATGCTTGAAAAGAACTAAATTAGGAATTATTTGTTTCGCAAGTGATTGTGCCTCATAGTCAAATATTATATCAGTTATTTTCAAGCAACATCACAATAGTTTTTTCAAAAATATTCTAAAAAAAATAATACAAAAGTGTTATTTACTATATTACTTTAAACATATATTAAACTTAAATACTAATCAACAGAATTAAACATTATGAATATGTATCAATTATTGCAAACGTTTCAAAATGATATATAGTTCATATAATAACTTTTATTTATTAATTATTTATCAGTGACATTTAAGGAGCCCTTTTAAGAACAACACAAATAGTTTTAGATGGTTTATCGAAGCTCGAAACAACATTCAAAATATTTTTTTCTTGTAATACAATTAATATTTATAATAATAGATTTTTTATATCACATCAAAGTATATTTATGTAGAAGTAATTTAATTATTTAAGCATCAAGGGCAGTGGTGGAACATCGCGTAACATTAGGACCTGATATATATTTTAAATAAAAGTTTATGGAAAATATGGAATTATTTGAACTATTTAAACAGGACAGTGATGTTACCGTGATGTCCACCACTGAATATAAAGAATATACTAAATATTCAACATATTTTTCTTTTCAAAATGATTTAAAGAAAGATTTGTTGAAAACAATGTTAAAAATATATAATATAATTAGTGCAGAGAGTGCTGTAGTGCAGTTTTGCGATTCTTATTCTATGTCGAGACTAATACTGGTGCCGGAAAAATTCTGAAAATTAGTGGCGTATCAAATATTTTTTTCCTAAGAACGAATACAACAACAAAAAAAATGAGTTAAATTTTTTTAAAGAGTTTATCATTCTGATTATTTATTACACTCCACTGGTTTTCAGAACTTTTAATATACATTTTTTGATTAATTTGATGCCGCTGTCACTGTTTCCTTTTGCTACCGGCACTATATAGAGATATGGAATATCAAGGACTTGGATTGGGACACGGGAACTAATAACAAAAATATCGACTCTATGACCCTGAGTATCGAAATCTTCATTGAGTTTGTCATTGGCTAGAGTGTAAACGTTTAAAACTGTTTTTGTTTTTTCGAAGGTTTAACGTGACTTTGGTGATCGGTCACTGTTTTCTACACAAAATAAATTTTTGCGGGAGAAAAAAATGAAATTATTGTACGAAAATATTCTCGATGAGGTAGTTGCCAAGCGTTTGCGGTTAGCAGAATAGATGTTGAAGTTTTTTTGTATTCTCTAAATGCATGTCGTTCCTTTTTTTTTAGAAAAATATATATTCATTTGATTTTTGTTTTTTGCTATAGTGGCAGCCTTGACAAATAGGTAGGTCGGATTTAAAAATTAGTTACATTTTTATTTTAGAATTATATTCTTGCATTTAAAACCTTCAAAGAGAAGTTATAATACATATTTTTGCATTGATCAGAAGTACTAGCCGAATGGTGCTTGATATCCTTGAAGTACTTGATGAAAATGATCTAAGAGAAAAACTTGCCTGATTTTATTCACTTTATTAAGAATATATAGTCCAGGATCAATTTCTGAGAGGTTAAAACCAACTATAGCAATTTTTAAGGCATATTTTTGATACGCAAAACAACTGCATATCATTTTCCCTTACAATAACCTTCAAATAAGTTAAATAGATTTGTTGATTGACTTTCGCAAATGCATTTCTCCAGAATATATACCACGCACAATTCTTAGTAGTTAACAATTGACTTTTACCTAATTAAGTATTATTTTGTTGATTTTTTTGAGTGACCGATTCACCGAAATAATGTTAAACCCAGAAAACGAACTATGCCTCTTAGAACAAAACAACGAATAGGCCGCTACAGATCAGACAAAGATGGCTTTCGTGAGCCCCAAAATTAAATAGAAATAAAACGCTTTGACTACTTTCAGTTCTCAGTCATCCAGGAACTTGTCAGACTTTTCAGAAACAGAAAATCTTTCGTCGTGACTTAAAGCTAAGGGTATACGGTTGCCTAAACTCTTGCAAACTCTTTCGATTCGTTACTTGGTAAACTTGGAAAATATGCCGGCTGCTTGGAAATTTGAGGAGACAATCTTTATAAAATCAGGGTTTGGAAGAGACTGCTACCAGTCGATATCATCGGAGGCTCATGACGACAAAGATCATCAACCGATTTTTTCGGCTGATAGGGTGGCACTTGGCAACATAAACTTCTGGGATTCGGATCATATTTCTTATATATTTTTATTTCAAAGCCCCCAAACAGGTCCCAAAGCTTTGTTTATTTACTATATCTGATTCTAGTTGATTATTGTAGGAATTGTTATGTGTATTTGCTTTTACTTTTGAATTCTGTCTTTTGTTAAGGTATTTCTTGGATTTGACAATGCTTTTAATTTTTTAAAACTTAATAAGTATATTGGCATAATTTCAAAAATTATGAGACACATTTTCTATTTTTTTATATTTATAAATCAACATTTTTATCTTGTAAAAGGTGGTATTGATACAGCATTCTTTTCTATATTTATTGAGTTAAAAATTGTGCAGAAAAAAATTGTACATTTCTTATATTTTCATAATTTTTAGAACTATGATTTTCGTTTTCTATACAAGTTTGTGTAGTATCTCTTTAAAATTTGTTTTGTATGGTTTTTACGTGTCAAATTAATTCGGATCCCAAAACTAACAGTTTTTTAATATATTTTAATAATTTAAGCCACGTGTCTCTTCTAAAAGTTGATCCAGCCTCCTAATTCTAACCTCAAATCGCCCTCACTCCATTAAATCTCTTTTTATTCACTCCGATAATTTCACCTTATTTCTTTAATCATACCGAGTGCGCATTAATACCTTACATCGAAAGCATAATAGTTATTAAGTCTTAAAACACTTATTACAATATTTTTTTTTGTTATTTTTTTTTAAATCTCGTAAATATATTAATAACTATAACTAACATCTATGTGCGTGATTGGGGCAGCTGAAATTATCGGATATATCGTATAAAAATAGAAATCTTTTTTATTATAAATTGTTTTTCCTTTTCCTGTGTTTTTGCTCTTGAGCCTAGGCAATTTATACTTTAGCTTTGTGCGTTATTATTTTCTTCTCTATTCTCTTTTTATTTCTTCTTCGTCTATTTTATGTCTTTTCGTCAACAATAACAATGATAAATATTTAACAGATATCTAGGTAACATATACAAGTTTGATAACAATTCGATTCGGCCTGGTTAAGGCTAATTTTTAAGAAGAAATGGTTTGGATTAAGAACATAAATCGTTTTTTTGAACTCATTCCACACTACAGAGCACTTCTGGAATGCCGGCCTTGTTTTTATTTGAAACTGATCACTAAATAAATGCATTTTGATTTAATAAAAATCGGAAATTTCCGGAACTGTATGGTTTAAAACAAGTCATTTTTAATTCAAGGCCTTTGGCTCCTTCAGAATTCAAGGAGGGGTCTCTTAAGCCCGTATGCACCGTTTTCAGTTTAGCGCTGAAGACAGTTCTGTCAGCTGTCACTCACCATCGTCATATGTTGCGAAAATTTAAAAATTACTTAGTCAAATATACAACACATGATTCCTTGAAGTCTATCAACAATATTTGTTAATCTAGTTATATTTTTTATACAAAGTAAAATAGATATAAACTTTAAAAAATGGAGACGCAGATTTTTTATCTGCACCTAATTTTGAATATAAAGACCAAGAGAGTCTAGTACTATTTTTTATTCATAGTGATGGAATCGACGCTATTTTTTGACAGTTTTGTCTGACGTTTCGCTAGACACATTTGAATTTGCTTTGAATTTTTGCATCTTTTTTATATCAGATATTTTGAAAGTGTAGACATTTTAAAAGATATTCTGCAAGAGAATAAAGAGGCTCTACTAAAAATATCGAAACAACTATTTAACTACTATGTAATTGTAATATAAGTGACGAGTAGTAAGGACAATGTATTAGAAAATCCATTTACAATAACCTAATTATACTACTTTGATCTAGTTATTTCAGTGGCGTATCTGTATTTATGTTATTACATAATTATATTAACTTATTAACTCATATTTTTTTGGAGAATTGTAATATCTAATAACATTCTCAATCAAAGTAAAACAAAATCAGCAAATTATTTGTGTTTATTCTGATATATATTTTATCATGTTAAATAAAACTAGAACTTCAATTGAGCCGCTTAGCTGCCAAGTAGTGTAAGACCAAAATTACATTTTAAAAAATATGTGTGATAACCGACGAAACTACACTGACCGCGATTGGATATTGGCTTTTCAAATTCTCTTTGTTTACTGCGTCATTACACTGCTTTACAGCACTTGTTCCCAAGCCGCGCAGCGATTTCGTCTAGTTGACAAAAAGAACAAATTTGAACTAGGTCCACTTGGTAAAAGAATAGACGACCCTAGAGGTGTGTAATTCGTGGAACGAAACGGGTAACAAAAGGAACTAGTTCCCGGTTTCTTAAAAGACTAGTTCCTCAGAATCTTTTCGCTCTCCAGTTCCGGATACTCAGATCTCCAGTTCCGGATGATGCGCTATCGTAGACCGTACAGTATTAAGTATTTTAAAATTTGCTCCAATTGGTTTGTGATATAGTTGTTGAACTCCGATTTAAATTTCTTTTTTATTTTTTTTATTTACAATAAAACTTACGTATATGTTTTTAATGTTTGCAATTACACGTCTCGTAATATTTCCTACACATAAAAATTATACAGATCATACTATGAATAGTTCTGATTTGTAACGAAACCCATGAGCAAGCAACGGAGATATCAGTTGTGAACTAAAGACCTAGTTCAAGTTAATATTTGTCTGGAGGAACAAAAAATAAGGAACTAGTTCCTCTCAAATTAGAACTAAAATTCCCACCTATAGAGGACCCTTTAACAAATAATATTTTAACTTTAACTCGTTTTCGCAAATGTTGGACTTACACTACTTGCCAGCCATGTTAAAGTTCCATCGCGGAGACGACAACTTTGTTGATATGAAGAGTAAGGGGAAAAACAATGTCACAAAACCGATTTAAGGTTGCACAGTACCATGTTGAAGATACAAAAAAATATTACTGTATGCTTTATCTTTTGTTATATGCGATTACAATTTAGTACTCAACAGATTAAGTTGGTTACTTAAAAATTCCTATAAAATTGACATTGTCAGTTTTTTTCTTCTTTCGGTTGATTCTCACTCTTATTCCGTTTCCATTCCATATCCGTTCACGTATTTTTTATTGTATTGACACTATACGTAAGCTTCCTTTTCGTATCAGTTCCATACTTTTTATTGTACAATTTATATCATTAGGAAAGTTTTATTTCAAAAATTTGTAACTTTTGAAAAAGGTAATAGATTTAATTATGAGGTGAAAGAATAAATAAATATCAGCAAAATTTTAACAGAGCTGGTACAAATGTAAAAAACTGACAATGCTGTTTCCGATACGCTTCAGTTCACCCGCCAAAAAAATGTATGGAAGGAAAGAATATTGAACGGAAGGAAAACGGAACGGATAGTGTGCATTGTCCTATTCATTTACGTAACATAATATTTTATGTAAAAGGAAGGGAAACGGAAGGAAGCTGATATGGAAGTTATAGTGAGTATCAACCTTTATCCTTCATATACTCCTCCCTTGATCGTTTTATTCAATGGTGTCCAATAATACATTTTTTCAACAACGGTGCATACGAGCCCTAATAGAGTGAGGTTATGATTTTGAAGGGGTTGTGGGTATAGTATGATGGGGGGTCGCCGAATTAAAAACGAAAAAAATAAAAATTAACTACACGACTAGCAACTGAGGCTAGCGAAGTCTTGTTGCTCTCTGAAAGTATACTAGACGACGATATTGGGCGGATTTGGGGCCCGGAGATGGCGTCAGCGCTGCGCCGTGAGGGGCGGCGGGGACGCCCCCGGCGAGCCTGAGGGGGGTGGTGGTGTTTAGCGCCCCCGCGCCCATCGCAGTAGTGCGTCCGCAAGTACGTCTAGATGTGCTTTCGTCTGAAACAATAAAAACAAATAATTGATATTAAAGAAATCAGTAAAAGTCGGTAATATTGAATACAATTATTAGTTTCCTATATAAATTGGGCTATAAAAGTTTTCGTAATCTCGAATTTTATAATATAGCTACATTTAATATTAAGTAAATGGTTAAGGTTTTGGTTGCGTAATCGAGAGGGTGTGATTTTTAAATTCATTGTTGCCAACCAAGGACTGTATATATTCTAAAGGACTGTTCGATCGCGTCAAATCGCCGCTGTCGTAGTCGCCGTGGAATGCTACGTCACGCGCTGACCAGCGCTCCACAGTGCGGCGGATGGTTATTCTAGCGGGACAAAATCTCAAGAGCAATGTTTGGGACTTAAAATCTAAGAACGTAGCAAATGGTCTAATATATAGCAACTATATTGCCAAATACATAAAATTATGATATCAAAAAACTCTGTAGCAGTTTTTTTTAATTAATTTGTAATCTTGTGACACCCTCTATAATTTATTTAAAAAAAAATATTTTATTTTGAAAATAATAAATAAGATAGATATTTTAATTTTAATTTTAACACTCGGTAATTGTAAATTCATATATAGTAATTATCTAAGACAATTTTTTAAACTCAGTGCCTTTTGATGGAGTTGTTTTGTTTTTATACTATCCGATTGAAATGAATCTTTTTGGGCATTCACCTGTTAAGCTTAAACTCACTGTGACTGTGACTACCTGTGTTGGTAACTATTGGTAACTCAAAAGATCTACATCATTCAATATATCGATATTTGAAAAAAAAGTGAAAGTTTGATATCTGCAGAACAAAGGCACGAAAGATTTTAACAAATAATATACGTACAGTAGAAAAGTACATACCTTTGGCAATCTTCAACATAATTTGGCTTTCTAATAAAATGTATAAGCACTTGTAAATATTTTGTTTTCGTATGATCTCTGCTTTGCTGAGCAGAAAACGACCAAATTTGGTTGATGAAAATGTATCGAAATACAAAGAATATTCATGCATTTTTGTATCAATTGGAATGTCAACTATTTATTCTTATCGGTATACATTTTTTGGCTTATTTCTAACCAAACGCTTTTGTCCCGCTAAATTTATCTTCCAACGCACTGTGCGCTCGTCCGTCAAATGCAAAAATAACTGTCACTGTCTAAAATCTTTAGCGCCAACTTTAACTCGGTCAGTAGATAACGTAAAAAAACTGACAGTGCAGGAAGATAGGAATCGAACTATCCTTATCTCTATAGTATCCTTGGTTGCCAACCATGGCAAATATTCGTCGCCGGGCTGACTAACTGGAATTTAAATTTTCCGCTGGGGATTCAGGTGGTAGCTCTGTTGTAAAAAATGTCAAGTTGTCACATTATTTTTTTTTATTTCCTGACGTGGTCATTCGTTTTGACATTTTATTATTAGTAGAGTTTTTGATATAAATGATTTGTGTATTATGTGTGATACTTTAATCTTAAACATTTTTACTAGCAGACCTTGCAGTCCAGCATTGTTCTTTTTAGAACCTCTTTAAGTGCGAAGTGTGCCGGAAAAAACTCATCGCAACCTTATTAGAATATTTTGAACTAGAAAGCGGTAGTAATGGCCCTTTATGTCCCCTAAGTCTTATTAAGAAGATGAATTTTGTTGATGTAAATAATAACTGCTTATATACGGGGTTGTTCACCACATACGACACGGAATATTGTAACTAAACGATTAGATTTTTGCAAATTGTAAATTTTGGGTTCGTTGAAGGACTGTTAAGCCGCGTCCAAGCTACTCGAACAAAACGTTCGCGAACATATATAATTCACACTATATACTCGTAGCAGCAGGTCGTAAACGACGGCACAGCTCATCGCATCGGTCTCGGGGACTGAGGTGCGGTGAAGAATGCGACAACCAGTTTGCTCTATAGATCTGGGATGCGTTTAGGTAGTCTCTGTTTTTTCGAGTACCCGAATTTCGAGTGCAAGCATTTTATTAAATAAATTAACCGGTAAAAGTTTAAGAACTTTTGTCGTTGAAGAATCAATATTTAGCAGGCGGAGGGTCACAGGGGTCTTTTGGTAGATTATTCGTTATAGTGTATTTTTAAGACCTGTATTCATTTTCAGCCGATTCTACCAGGTATTTCTCAAAAGGGGCTCACTTTTTACTTTTTTATTTTTTCAGGTAATACAACGAAATTTGGTTTGTTAGTATATGACATAAATCGGGATTGATTGACGTATTCAATTACCTTCGGTCGCTTCCTGTTTCACCGGAAATGACTACAACTTTGTATTTTTAGATTGTATCCTAAGTACTTTATTACTTTATTTGATAGAAAAAACATTCTTAATAGAATGACATACCATACGTCAATTTTAGACAATTCCAATTAAATAAAAATAACATTTTAAATTTCAATCTAGAGTGCCAAGACTGAGTTAAAACTATTAATTTGTAATCAAAGAACTTTGGAAACATATATTTGATCGTGTAATTTTTTTTCGTATCCTTTCATGGCCGCTTAAAAGATGCCCAAATCGTATTTTTAATGATAACTCAAATTTTTCAAATGGTACGAGGCTGGCTCAGCATATTTGGAAAAAGCATTTTTTACGAATAATTTGGTACCACATACTTGGTATTTGGAGTAAAACTGTCGTTACGTTTATTTATGGCCATTTTTAAATTGAAAATGTCAAAAGTTGACATATTATATAACATTCTATGTCTAGAATGTCATTTTCTATCATATACGGTAAAAAAATACCGAGGGTACCATTTAAATCAAAAGTTGTTGTCATAAATAGGTAGTGACCGAAAATAAATGAAAACGTCGATCAATCCTGATTTATGTCCTATACAAACATACCAAATCTCGTTTTTTATCTAAAAAATTAAAAAAGTTATAGAAGTGAACCACTTTTCAGACACACCCAGTATATTTATTTCTAAAAATGTAATGGTAAAATTTCATTTCCGGTGTCAAACGTCCTATTAAGTAGTAATTTTTAATTTCAGAATCCCATAATAATTCCGGTTTTAATAAAAATAATCATAAATGTTTTTATTAACAAAAATAAAATTATATGGACGAAGTCTAGCTACATAGCTATTCACACTCAACCCACAATAAAATTAAAATTATAACATTTTTTCTTTGTGTAAACAAATTAGTTGTAAATGTTTTTCACGATCGCAGTCAATAACTGCGTCTCATTGTCGAATACTCCCTAAAAAATAAAAATCACAGATGTACGCCCGAAATTAAATGAGACCCTTCCAAGTGTCCGGTACAATGTCCGTCGAAATGCACGCCGTTCGCTCCTTTTGATTTACCGACACCCGTCGGAAAAAGAACGCGCGCGCTCCAGCATAGGCAGACGCACGCTGTGGCGTACAAGCTAGCCGTTCGGCTCCGCGCTCCTTAATGGGCCTAGGCTAGCTGTACTTGTTGGTTTTATTATTTATAAATCTACCTATCTCACAATTTTCACTTATTATCTGTTTAATTATATATGTTCGCGAACATTTTGTTCGAGTAGCTTGGACGCGGCTTTAGAGCTACAATTTAAAAATATTTTTACAAGATACAGAGTGTCCCAAGTGAATAAATAAAAAAAATATAAAATATATCAAAGTTGTATTTTTTTACATGGAATACCCTGTATATTATTACATTTCTTGTTTCTACCATTAAAATAAAGGTACATTTGATTAAGGTTTACCGCATTTTAATTTGACTGTTTTTGAAATATTTGTGTTTTTGTCAAAATACAGTAATAATTTTAATGCCTCATTTCTCTAGGCATATTTAAGTTTTTGGAGCCAAATATTGTACTGAAGTATTTCTATTTACTAAATTTTGTGTTGCAATAATAAAAATTATACTACCTGATACAGAGTGTCTAAAAATTTATTTTAAATAATTACTAGCTTTAAACCGCAATGACTTGTTTGTTTTAAGTATTATACAACTGTGTTTTCTTTCTCTGTACATGCCTGGCGCCCAATATCTATATATCTTTTGTTAATTATTACTGATTAATTTTCTCTCTAGTGAAATACCTTATCCACGACTGCTCTCCGATGAAAAGCTGCCGTTCGCAGTGGTAGTGGTTTAAAAAAAACGCTACAAAATTTTTAAAGAGTACCGATACTAATATTGTCGATATAGTTCGTTTATTTCATTAAAAAATAAAAAAAAAAACTTTTTAAATATTTGTTAAAGAGGACCAATTAATATGATTCCAGTATTCAAACTACATTAATTGACTGTTTGCGTTGATTAATAATAATTGCTCCAAATACTAAAGAACTGAATTTTATATGTGTATTAGACAATGTGGTAAAAAGGAACATACACCTTAAAAATGTTATTTCATTTCTTGACGAATGCTTATTTATAACAACAGAGACGTTAATTTTTATTATCAACTTATTATTAATTCAATTTATTATTATATTGATTTCTGATTCAAATCCACATTTATTTAGAATAATTTATTAACTAACAAAGTTAAGTATGTAATTAATTAATATTTGGGTGGAAATAATGGTGATATATTTAATTAATGGTATACTCTTCTATAAAGATTTAAATAGTTTCTTTTTGTATACAAATGGGCTAGTAATATAATCGTTTTTAGCAACTGTGCATTTTGTACATCAATCTAAAATGTCAATATTCCATGGGTATATTGATAAATGAGGTCTAAATTAAGAACATATTTGGGTAGGCGGTCTTCAAACTCAGTTTACAACAACAACCGAAAAGTAAAGAGGTAACAAAGTAATAAGATTTTTGAATGTCCGGAGTGACAATACGCAAGAGAGATAACATCACGTATCGGGCTTTTCAATTACAGGAAAGCTCATGAAAGAAAACGTCTTGAGTAACCATCTTCTGATGCGCGTCAAATACTCGTCAGCGAGTAATGGCAGTAAGTAAATAGGCACAATACAAAGTTAACTCCAGCTTAACTTCTTGATAATTTCCTCGCA